TCCCATCTCATTGAAACCCTGCAAATGCGGGGTTCTAAATGACAAAAGCTGGTTTTCTCCCTCCTGCCATTCCCCAACAGCAGGAGAGACTGTCAGAGATGGGAAGCTGTACTCACATTCATCATCCCATTGGTCAGATAGAGTACAGTTTTCAGCAATCGCTCGGTGTGGCCCAGACAAAGAGGCACAGACCTCTCTGACAATCCTGGACAGCAGTCTGGAAGACCTGATGTGAGCCATTTGTCCCAGGACTTCGACAGAGGATCGCGTGGCCTTCATAAGGTGTCCCAGTTTGGCACAGCCAGCTTCACGTAGGGCCGATCTTAGGCTCACTGAGGACAAGACTTCGGTCTTAAGAAAGTCGTTGAAAAACAGTGGCTCCTCGAAGATCCACATTCCTGGTGTCTCATCAGGATCCCTGGAGGCTTGAAGAACTCGCCAGGCCCGAAGGACTGATGTATAGAAGGGCGTGAGCCCCGTGATGTCCACCTCGCCCAAGTTTAGCAAAAAACAGCTGTTTGCTGTAACCGAGCCCACCAGCTTTCTGAAGTAACATATTAGCTGTGTCCAGCCACCTTGCTCCGCAGTCGTAGAGGAGCCTCTGTGCCGTTTTTAGCCTGAAGGCCTTTATCCGGGAAAGAATGTCTATTAATCCTTGTCCTCCTTCTTCTACTGGAAGATACAGAGCCGCAGCCCGTATCCAGTGCTGTCCTGACCAGAAGAAGTCCACCAACAGTCTTTGTACCTCCTCAACCAAGCCCCCTGGTGGGTTTAAAACAATTAGCCGGTGCCAGAGCGTCGAGGCGACCAAGTTATTAGCTACTAGAACTCTTCCCCTATATGACAGCTGGGGTAGCAGCCATTTCCATTTAGACAACTTAGCACGCACTGTCTCCACTACACCCTCCCAATTCCTCTCCTGGAATCCATTAACCCCGAGATACACTCCCAGGGTCTTCAGACCACACCTCCCCATTCCAAACCACCAGGCAGACTGGGAATCATCTCCCTGACCATTGCCCTATTTGAAGGGCCTCACATTTCCCCCAGTTAACCTTGGCTGATGAGGCCCTCTCATACAGACTAAGGCAGTTGACCATGGCCTGTACATCCCTCTGATCCTTAATAAAAACAGTCACATCATCAGCATAAGCTGATACAATAACCGGACCATGGGACAACCCTGTGAGAAAGAACCCATTGAGGCTGTTCCTTAATTTGCTGAGAAGGGGCTCAATGGCGATACTGTACAACTGCCCAGAGATGGGGCAGCCCTGTCTAATACCCCCCTTCCAATGCGAATAGGTCGACTTAACCCACCACCCACCTTAACCAGACAAGTTGTTTCATAATACAATAAACCAACCCATGCTATAAAATTTTCACCAAAGCCAAAGGCTCTGAGAACAGAAAATAAAAACCATGGTCCACTCTATCAAAAGCCTTTTCTTGATCGATTGACAAGATTCCAATGTCCTTGGTATACTGCTGGCAAATATCTAAAATATCTCTGATTAAAAACAAGTTGTCCATTATTGTTCTGTCTAATATACAATAGGTTTGGTCAGCTTGTATCACAGAACCTAAGTACTTTTTTTCAGTCTGTTTGAAAGTGCCCTGAAATCACTTTGTAATCGGGCGACAAAAGTGCCACCGGTCTCCAGTTCTTCAGAAGGGCCAAGTCTCCCTTCTTCGGTAGGAGTGAGAGCACTGCCCTCCTGCATGATGCCGGTAGTGAGCCCCTGTGAATGCAGTCCATTGTAACTTCATAAAAGTCTGTTCGAAGGCAGCCCCAGAATCGCTTGTAAAACTCTATGGGCAGCCCATCGATCCCTGGTGCTTTACCAGAGGCCAACTGCTCCACAGCTGCAGTCAGCTCCTCCATACTCAGGTCTCTATCCAAGGCAGCTTTCTCTTCAGGACACAGCTGAGGAAGCCCCTCCAGGAGCTCAGCTGCACATATGTTGCTGCAGTCTTCTGCACTGTAGAGTTCTGTATAAAAGTCTACCGCATGTTTCCTCATCTCAGCAGGGTCTGTGGTAACCCTGCTGTCAGGCAACCTCAGACAGGACATCTGCTTTCTCTGTATCGTTTTTCTTCTCCAAGTTGAAGAAGAAAGAAGTTGGCGATCCATGTCCTTGATGGACAAGAAGCGAGCTCTGATCAGAGCCCCCTTAACACGCTCCTGCAGAAAGGAGCTGAGCTCCAGCCTTTTACACTGCAGCTGTGCAGCATCAGCAGAGACAGCATTTAACTCAGACTCCATCCTCATAATTTCTTCTTCTAAACTCTGAATTACTTTTCTTATTTTTTTTGTGGAATGAGAGGTGTATTGTTGACATAGAATACGAATTTGAGCCTTTCCCATTTCCCACCACTGGCTCAAGGACTCAAAATCTGACTTTTTTTGTTTCCATAGTCCCCAGAAATGCTCAAAAACCTGACAAAAACTCTCGCCCCTGGAGTAATTTGATGTTAAAATGCCAATATGTGTTTACTTTTCTGCCAGAAGAAAAAGCTAAATTAATAAAAATTAGGTGATGATCGCTGAAACCTACTGGATTGATGAAACTCCCTGTAAGACTACTTCTAAGATCGTCTGAAATGTACAGCCGATCCAATCTGGCTGCACTGACACGACTGTCCACTACCCTAACCCAAGTGTACTGCCTGGTATTAGGGTGTTTTACTCTCCAGGCATCTACCAGATTTAAATTGGTAACCAGCTTTGCCAGACTATGAGATGACTGCAGGTGTGGCTCTTCATTCACTCTATCCAATGTAAAATCAGTAGTACAGTTCCAGTCTCCACCCATGATGATATACTCCTGACCATACTTTCCTAACTCTTCCTTTAGTGCTCTGAATACGGCTAGCCTATCAGATCCAATATTAGGAGCATAAATGTTCACAAAGCATAGAACAGTTCCTTCAACCTCCGCCCGAACTATTAGAGCTCTGCCCTTTATTAATTCCTTAGTGGATATAATATTTATATTTAAATTTGGAGAAAAAAGAATAGCTACACCTCCACTAAAATTATTACCATGACTGAGGTAATGAGTGCCTCTCCAAAATAATTCCCAATCTAATTCATTATTTTCATCACTATGAGTTTCCTGGAGGAAGAAAACATCTATCTCTTTCTGACGAGCCACCTCTGCTAGTAAAGCTCTTTTATTCCCATCCCTCCCTCCGTTCACGTTCAAAGAGCCTACTCTGAGCCCCCTCATGAGAAAATTAAAGAGAAGACCAGCAAACAGTAAAATCAGACAGAAAGAAAGACAGACACCCGTGCAATGCATGATCATTGTGTTTTATTGGCTCAGATTTAACGCTCGTTTTCCCTTCCCTTTCCGACTCACTGTGGCCTTTCTTAAAGCGGTAACATGTTTTTTAATCGAAATTTTTTTTTCGTCGAGCAAGTCCAGCCCCACCTTCTTCTGTAAAGTTATGCAAGACTTTATAAACTTTTTCCGTGTCAGGAAAATATTCTTTCACTTTGACAGATTTTCCAAACGTTTCGTCCAAAAAATCATTAACCTGCTCCAATGTATACAGCTCCGACTGTGTATCCGACTGTACAGACACACTGTCAGAGTCCGACTCAAACTCTACATCCTCAGCCTCACTATTCACGCTATTCTGAGTTGACACAGTTTTTCCGGTAAATCTGCATCCGCGTCTGTCATTACAGAGGAGCGAGCAGGCCGCTTCATGCCTTTCCTGCAAGACTCCCCGCTACCGCCGGACGAAACGACTGCATTCACAACGGGAATCGATTCTGCAGACTCTCCCTCGCCAGTGGGAATGTTTGCCACAATTTCATTTTCATTCTCAGACTCTGCCCTTTGGGAAGCACTCTTCTCCACTTGACAAACCTGTGTCGGCGATGTCTGTATACTCAGTCCCCTCCCCAGGATCAGCATGTGAACGCAGGGGACTGTCCGTATCAATATCTATGTTTACACTTCGCACCCTTTCCTGATAATGAGGGCAAAACAATCGTTTATGTCCCACGTCACCGCACTCAAAGCATTTCATACTCCCAGAACTAGCGTATACCATGTAAAATCCATCTTCAAATTTCACACGAAATGACACTTCTAAGCTTTGAGTAGGAGAATCAAGAAACATAAAAACTTGTCTTCGAAGAGACTGAACATGTTTAAGTTTAGGATCCTTGCAGCCCAAACTGACAGTTTTAAAACCACTTGCGAACTTTCCCGAAACGCCGTAGCTCTCGCCCAGCGCTTCATTAGGGATGAAAGGCGGAACGCCCGATACTGTAATCCGTGTAGACGGGACAGCTAATGGGGAAACTTGCGTGAAAACATCATTAATATAAATTCCACTGGAAATTAACTGAACGACAAAACGCTCCTCCTTCAGAAAAACTACAACAGCTTTATGCATGCGAGAAGCATGCAACAAGTTTTCGTGGCCAATCTGTTCTCCTGCTGCTAGGAGAACATCCTCGACCGTTATTTGCGCCTCTGACGGAACAACCCTTATCCCATGCCGGATAGACAGAGACGGCGTCTCCCTGAGCGCCATCCCGCCTCCCGGGAAAAATAGAAAAAGTTTTCCAACTTACCCTTATCGCAAATTATTTAGCGTCAATGAAACATGCAGAAATAGAAAAAGAAATAGAAAAAGAATTTAGCAAGTGCAAGAGTTAAAAAAAAAAAAAAAAAAAGCCGCACCAAACTCTCAGCACACGCTCTCACCAAACGCACCCCCAACTCCCAGCATACACTCCGAGAGAGAGAGAGAGAGAGAGAGAGAGAGCGAGGGAGAGAGAGAGAGAGAGAGAGAGAGAGAGAGAGAGAGAGAGAGAGGGAGCACTCACACTGGCTCCTGTGGAGGAGGAGGCCCGATCAGCTCTTAATGAAGAGCCTCTCTGGGTAAACAGCAGTAAATGGCTGAGCTCTACACCGCGCCACAGAAACACTCTCATCACGCGCAAATCACACGCCAAGGGCTGATATGGGGAGGGTGGCCCATGATCTTGTGGTTAAGTCGCTTGATTGGGACTCAGTAGGTCATTGGTTCAAGTCCCAGTGTAGCCGCAGTAAGATCAGTGCAGATATTGGGCCCCAATATCAAGCAAGGCCCTTATACCAAGTTGCTCCGAGGGGATTGGCACCAGCTTTGGCCAAAGAACTTCAAGTTTCTCACAAAAGCTTTAGCTAGTAGCAGTAACACAATATAAATGCAAGGAGAGGCCAGTGCTTGGCAAAAGTTGGCCCAAAGTTGATGCAATGTTGCCAGAATGAAAATGGTTGAGGAACCTTATTACAGAGTCAGTTGCCACTCAGCTGTTCAACACCAAAGAACAAAAACACAAAGAAGGAGGAAAAAAAACCCCTTCTTGATACATTTCATCAGCGTTGCCACAATGTTACGGCAGAGAAGCTCCGCAGTACCTCGGGCTGATTTTCAGCAATATTCGCACAGCGTTGCTGCTATGTTCCCGCAGCGCTTGCTGCCCCTTGTCGCAGGAGCAGTTAGCTGTGGGGTTGGGATGGGAGGGGCAGACTTGGCACGCGGGTACATTTTCCTGGGCGATAGACCTCTGGCGCGATGTAACGCCGCCAGGCCTGCAGATTTCAGATGTGCTGTGGCTTGGAGGTGGCTGGAGCCCTACTGTGGCACACACGGTGTTATTGCTTCTTCTTCTGTTTTTTTTTTTTACATTTTCCTCTCGTTCCAGAACCCTCCGGGGCTTTTTACACGGCTGGTGTGGGACGCCCCTGTCCCTCCTCTCGTCCCCGGAGCCTGTGGGATGTCCTGCCCCCCTGTTCCACCTCTGCTTTTGTGTTCCCACGAGTGGTGTACACTCCAGGCAGGGCAGGGGAACATCAAACACCCCCTCCTCTCTCTCTCTGTCTCCCCCTCTCTCTTTGTCTCTCTCTCTCTGTTGTTTGCTAATGTGACTCGCCCTCACGGGTGCACAGACAGTGGGGACTCATATGACAGCAGAAGTGTGTGGGGGTGAGCCCCTCCCATTGCACCCCCCCCATCTTCAAAGAACACAACAGCCACCCTGATACACCCTGAGTCCCACTACGTACATGCATACACACTCACATACACACATAGACACATACATACAAACACACACGCGCCTATACACATATACACACACATAAACACGCAGATACAGTGACGTACACACACATACACGCATGCACACACACGCAAACACTGAAGTGCAATCAAATAAAATCACACACTCATACACATACATACATGCACACATATGCAAACAAACAAATGTAATCGAACAAAGTCGCACACACCTATACATATACACACGCTGACACGCACATAATCATACACACTGAGACGTACTTTGACACACTTACATGGATGCACACACATTCAGAACCATACAAACCTGCTCCTAAAACACATACAAGCACACACAAGTGCATTATTGTGTGCATGCACACACACACACACACACACACACACACACATATACATGAGCGTATGCACACATGCAATCAAAAATGTATTATCCAGCACATGTATACGTGTAGTGACAAATAAACATGACCATGCATGTCCTGCACTCACGATACACAAAAATAACCAAATATTTACTATAAGGTGAATGTACGATTGCAGACAAAAAGACAAAATCACACCTCACACATACATGGCTATCAGCACAATATGACAGGTAGGTACTGTGCACACACTCGAGCCCACACTCATACATACAAATGCACACACACACACACGCACACACACTCACAAACAAACACAAACTCTCACACACACTCACTCTCACACATACACGAACATACACTATCTCTCACACACACACACACACACACGTGCGCACACGCACTCACATAGACACACACACACACACACACACACATTATTAATAAGTTGTTGTTTCTTTGCAAAATGTGCCAGGCTTGTCTACACTCGCTTGCTGCTTCCAGGCAATTCCGCCTGCGCTTTGATGTCTCCGTCTCCTGTGGAACGGTCATATCGGCGCACTTTACGACGTTGTTACGCGCGTAGTACACACACACCAGAGAGAGAGAGAGAGAGAGAGAGAGAGAGTGAAAAAGAGAAAGCGAGAGAGTGAAAGAGGAGCTGGGCCCACTTAAGCAGTGATGTATTGCGTTACGCATGAAGTTTGTGAAAAATAGACTTGTGTGGACGCACAGCGGTGCTAAAGGTACAACCTTTCTCCCAACAGAACACACCCGCACCGTCCTCCAAAGTGCATTAAGCAAAGGACGAAGGATGGCAGTGTGTGTAAGTGTGTGTATGTGTGTGTGTGTGTCTCTCTCTCTCTCTCTCTCTCTCTCTATATCTCTCTCTCTCCCACTCTGTGTGCTTGAGTGTGTCTCTGTATAGTGTGTCTCTCTCTGTGATTGTGAGTGTCTGCCTGTGTGTGTGTGTGTGTGTGTGTGTGTGTGTGTGTGCGCTCGCGTGTACATTAGGTGTTATTTTGATTCTGATATTGCTCCTCCCCCATTAAAAAGCCAGGGTGTCCCCCCCCCCCCCCTCCATGACTGCCACCCCATCCCCTCTTTCCTGGGGAGCTGCCCAGGATAACCCCCCCCCCAGCCCAGGAAGTGAATCCCGAGTTAATAATGTATTAGAGACAGGGTGGGACCCAGACATGCGCCCCTCTCCATTATTTATTCTTTACACACATCTCCCAGATCATTTACACCGGCTCATACGTGTGTGTGTGTGTGTGTGTGTGTGTGTGTAAGAGTACATGCTTGTATGTGAGTGTTCCTGGGGGTTTGTATAGGTATACTTGTGAAAACCAACTTTTGAGAAACCACAGATGTCGTGGGGACATATGGGATTATGAAGACATTTTGGATGGTCCTCACTGGGTTTAAAGGAGGAGTACGGTTAAAAAATTGGTTAAAAACCTCTTCCACTCGGGAGTTGGCATCGGAGCGATATTGGCATTGTACTCACCTCGCCTTGAAGCGTATTACATCTCCAAACTCGTTCCGATTAAGGGTTTCCTAATTTCCAACTAAGTGTCAATTTGCTCAGTTGCGAGGATGAATCTGTATCAATTTCCCCTGAGATAGCATTACAGTTCATTGCAATAATTATCGAGCATTTTCCTATCCAAAAGAACGGTAATATAAAACGTTAATGTCTTACGAAGCTTCTGAATCCCTGCGGCTCACAAAACGGCATATATATATTTTTTTGTCTGCGTTCGCATCTGATTAGCTTGATACACCAAAGAAAACGTGTCTTAAAAAGTGTGGCTCTCATGTTAACGCTGCTCATGTAAAAATTAAACTCTACATCTGTCTACAACCAGTGACATCACCATAATGCAGGTTTACACTCAACCTATTTCGGAGTAAAAATCGGGTAATGAATTGAATCAATGCAAATGGGCTTCCAATAAGCTGTGTTGCCATTAACGATTAAGACATACAGCTTTGCGTCACTGAGGAAGGCTAGGCTACAATATGAGATTGCATGGACGGTAATCAACTGAAGTTTTTTTTTTTGAAATTCCATCTTGAAGTTGAATTTTATGTAGTAAATGGTGCTGAAGATGGTATTTAGATTAGGTTTAGATTTTGTTTAATTAGATAATTGCCATTCATCCAGTCTCACATAATAGAATTCCTATAACTTTCCTACAAGCCAGTCTGCAAAGACCTCATGAATGACTTTGCTACCTTGAAAGTTCGACGCATTGCATCATATTAAATGATTTTAAATGCATGCCATGCGTCAAGATTTCACGATGTACCAATAACCAATGCACTAAATTATTCAATCACCAATGCTTCAACATAAGAAGCGTTGGTAATTTAAATAATTAATTCTTATCGCTTTGCATGGCAACCAGTGTGTATACGTTTCCCTGCAAATGCAGCCTTTTGGATGCTGAAAACATTAAGATTAAGCGCAATCTTAAAATAAATAAGGTTGCACTGCCAAAAAAATCCTAGAACGGGAGATAGTATTCAGGTAAAGCACTGGGCAAAATGATATTTTTTTATTATTATTTGTTTTTTTTCCATCCAATCAATTTCACCAGCCCTTCAGTGACCTGTCATTTCTTAAGACTCTGTTAATAATTACAGGCTTCTACGTTTATTGGTCTTAATAATTCGGTGAATAAGTTGCGTGATCATGATCACGCCATCTTAAACAGGAACAGCTTGAAAGCAATTATGCGTTTAAGGGTCAGAGGCTCACGGCACATCATTTGAACATCCCGTAAAGCCGGCGTTACCACTAGGGGGACGTTGTGCTTTAGGAGGTTAATATTAGAGTTACGGTTAAGGTTAGGGTTAGGTTTGGGTTTAGGTAACAATTAGGGTTAGGATTAGGCATAATCTGGTTACAATTAGGGTTCAGGAAAGGTTGTTCAGAATAAGTGTAAGTCAATACAATGCTCTCACAAGCATAGCCATACAAACTTGTGTGTGCCTGTGTGTGTCTTCGAATTCTTGGGTTTCACAGATTATAATGTATGTAATATGAATAGGAAAATATGCATTCTCCGATTACAGTTACTTTCTGTAGATTGCATGATTGCATTTTTGATGACTTCAGCATAAAATGACGTTTGATACAAATCCAGCGATGCATGTGTACACACAGGTAGTATATAACCTCATGCAAGCATGCCACATGACACACATAGGCGAACACACACACACACACACACACACACACACACACACACACACACACACACACACACACACACACACACACGCACGCACACATGCACACACACACACACACCATGCATGTTCCTACTTAGGAGGATCACCAAGAGGCTGGCTTAAACACATTGAAAAAAAAATAAAACCTGAGAAGATTGCACCCTAAGCTCTCCAGTGGTGTATGTTACATTAGCATTTATAGTAATACATACAATTTGTAATCATTACCGGATTAAATTTCCCAAGGAATCCACCCAACACAAAATTCACAGAAATGTTGTCAGGGTAGACAGTGACTTCACCTTTTTTATGCAGAATTACTCTCAACCTGTTCCCAAGTACTTCGCCTATGTAAAGATCAATTAAAAATT